ATATTTTCATCCTAAAGGATGTTTCAAATTTCAATGCAATGTACAATTTCTCCCCATTTTGTGCTCTACATGATGTCAAAACCCTAAAGGATGTTTGGCTCATGGCTTAATAGATTGGATCTTTGAAATCCGGGGTTCGGAAGGCTGAGATTATGCCATTTGTGTTTGGATTGGGCAAATGAATGGTTAATGGAAACTTGGGTTTGTGTTACTTGTATATAGTTTGGTTTTTGAGTTTATTATTTGGAAAAATTAGAATGTTGTATAATATGTGTGTATAACGTATCTATAACCTTATATAAGCAAATCCATGTACTTTGGGTACTTATGTAGCCAATCCTCGTACCAGTTTAATTCATATGTTCAGGATAGCTAGGATAGCTAGGATAGCTCTGATTCTGTGACTGTGACTTTGAATTTCAATTTTGTGGGGTAATCGTTCTCTTGGAATTTGTCCTAAACTTCCTAGCCAAGAAAAGTAAAGGGAAAATAATGACTTCTAGTTTGGCACTTTTTGTGAACATTGGTTGGAGAGAGAAACGAAGCATTCCTTATAAGGGTGTGGAGACCTCTCTCTAGTAGACGCGTTTTAAAACCGTGAGGCGGATGGTGATACATAAGGGGCCAAAGTGGACAATATTTGTTAGCAGTGGGCTTGGGCTATTACACTTTTTGTTGTTACTTTTTCATCTGATGCATTTTATTTACTTTTTCATCTGATGCATTTTATTTAGTCAACCTTCTTAGGAACATTTGATTCTGAATGGAAATAATAAGCTGGCTTGTTTAAATGTGTCAAAACAGTGTTTGCATAGTCTGAATCGTTGGAGCAAAGGAAAATCCTAATGGAAGACTTAAACAGAAATGTTTCTCAGACTCCTCCAAGTCCACAAACCCGAAGTTCTCCAGACGGTCCTGTGGCCATCCTGTGGGATATTGAGAATTGCCCTGTTCCGAGTGACGTACGCCCTGAAGACGTAGCTGGTAATATAAGAATGGCTTTGCGAGTGCACCCTGTAATAAAAGGTGCAGTTATGATGTTTTCTGCATATGGGGATTTCAATGCATTTCCTAGACGTTTGAGAGAAGGGTGCCAGAGAACAGGGGTCAAACTAATTGACGTGCCAAATGGTCGGAAAGATGCTGCCGACAAGGCTATACTGGTCGATATGTTTCTCTTTGCCCTCGACAACCCTCCCCCGTCTTCCATTATGCTCATATCTGGAGATGTCGATTTTGCTCCAGCACTTCACATTTTAGGTCAACGTGGATATAATGTGATACTTGTCATCCCTTCTGGTGTGGGTGTTTCATCTGCCCTCTGCAATGCTGGAAAGTTCGTTTGGGACTGGCCCACTGTGGCTCGTGGTGAAGGCTTTGCTCTTGCCCCCAAGGTGTTGACTTCCCGTGGAGGAGCAGCCGAAATTTCTGGATATCTTAAGGGATGCCATATCAATGATAACCCGGATTGCCAAAACGAAGACGAAGCTATTATCTTTAGAGGGATCTCCCAGAACTATTACAACTCGAGGGATTTTTCAGTAGTAACTCAGTCTTTATCTTCATCTTTGAGGTCACAGAGTCTCCCATCTGGTTTGAATGAGGTTCCAACAGGTCCTGTTTCGTGTGGAGATCAGAACGAGTCGGCTTGGTGGCCGCAGACAGGAGACTTAAATGTTCTGAAGGGACAGTTGGTTAAGATGCTAGAACTTTCTGGAGGGTGCTTACCCGTAACTAAAGTTCGAGCCGAGTACCAGAGAGTCTTTGGAAGGCCATTGTACACTTCTGAGCCAGGTATCAAGCTTGTGAATCTTTTTAAGAAGATGGGAGACACCCTCATTGTAGAGGGCAAAGGTAACAAGAAATCTGTCTACCTTCGAAACTCCAGATCATGCCCGAGCGCTCCACCGTTGATATTATCAAGGAAAGAAAGCAAGAAAGGCAAGGGTACATTGGAAGAAACTGTCGACATTGCTCCAGGCATAGGCTCATCGGACGAATACTCGGATGAAGAAAGAGTAGTCCTCGAAGAACACGACGTGAACAAAGGTGTAGGAAAACCCAACCAAAACAACAACGAACATTGTCTCGATCAATTCAAACATGAGCTACAGGAGATTCTCGTAAGCTATTCTTGCAGAATCTTCTTGGGATGTTTCGAGGAAATATACCTACAGCGATACAAGAAATCCTTGGACTTCCAGAGCCTCGGTGTTCGCGGATTGGAGGAGTTGTTCGACAAAGTAAGCGACGTCGTTGTCTTGCACGAAGATCCAGCAAGCAAGCGAAAGTTCCTGGCTGCATTCGGTAGCTAAAAGGATGATGAAGATGATCAGGTAGCTAACCTTTGTATCCATTCTATGTATGTCATCAACTTGTGAAATAGCTCCAAACAAGAAAGAGAGGCTGGTTGTGTTGTGTCTTTTTTTTCTTCCTCCAGCATGTTCTTTGTCCTTTTTAGCGTATGGAAACTGTCACTGTAAGTGTCTGTAACAGATGAAGATCTTTGTCTGAGTCTCTGTAAATTACTCTCTGCTCAAGTTTTAAGATTAATATAAGGTTCTTTCTTTCCATTTCAACGACCATTTCCAAATGAAATAAAAACATATTTTTAGTTTGTATCCTAAATATATCCTTCCGTGTTTTATGTTCTTTAATTTCACTTTTAGGTCATGTACCCTAATCTTTTTGCTCATTTTCAATTTAGTCGATCTATTTTCAAATTTTCTAATTTTAGGGTCGGGTTTTGTAGGATTCGACAAACGAGCACTCAAAAGGGTCCTTGTAACTTGAGTGAAACCTTCAAAACCGAAAAAACCTAAAGTGAATTGCTCTCTTCGTGATAAATGAAAATGACCAAAGTGTCCTCACAATACCCCCTCAAATCTTTCTCATCATTTTTCTAAAATTGGGACGTTACAGATGGTATTAGCGAATCTTTTTCGATGTGGGTTGGGGATGAACGAAGGCGAAAATTGATAGCATATGACGCATGAATAAAGGGGTATATAAATGAGCTAAGATCATGTTCAAATGAAAGTAATCTTTGAGAATATGATGGTTAAGGAAAACTTTATTTCAGTGGCTTGTCTATAGAATTTCGAACCTTCATATTTTAGTAGCTCGATGGTAGAAATTCGAAAATTAAGCTTGTTTGACTTTGAGCAATCGTACGTTGAATGTTCTTTTAAGAAACATGTGAGTGATGACAAAATATACCAAAATGATATATGTCAGCTTGTGTCGATAGTTTTTACTCTCGTAAACAACCACCATAAACCAACTCTTAATCCTCAGCCCACAACTATAGTTCAATATTTACGCGTTTGATTTTAACGATGCATGAATCTTAAAAAGAGGCGAGGAAAGATTCAAAGCACTTTGGAAATTTAATGTTTATGTTATTTATTTATTATTATTCTGACTTTCTTGAGTTGGAAGTTTAATGTGTTTTGCATGTGTTCATTTCATCCAATGTTCTTCAAAAATATTCCAACTAAATCCTAAGTCAACGCACAAATTAAGAAAGAAAACAAAAAAACAAAAACACGTAATGCACGCTGTCCGTCCGATTCTCTCTCTTCCGTTTTGACTTTGACCTAGTCAACTTATCGTCCATATCCATATTATTCTTTATTTACTGCTTTATTCTTTTACAGCACCTCTCATCATATAAATTTTCACTTTTTTTTTTATTTTTTTTTATGAATATAGTTAAAAATGTCTATTTGATCCGTCCTAAATAGGATAGAATAGGTATAAGAATAAAAAAAAATTCATGTTAACTACGCACCGAAATTAATTTTCGTCCCTGTCTAAATTTCTATATCTTTTTATTTATTTATTTAAGAGAAATTGTGAACGTTATATTATATTTTTGTTTATAAAACATAGATTTATTAAGATATTTTGCATTTTTTAATAAAATTAAATTTGAAATTTGAAATTATTTATTAAAATTATTATTTTTTTTAAATGAGTATTTTTTTAATATTTTCCTTTTAAAAACTATAAATGAAATCTAATAGCTTTCAATTTCTTATATAGAATATTCAATAAATCTTCTATCTTTTAAAAGTTTTATTTAATTTTTAATTTTGTATTTAATAAATTTTTAATTATACAATAAAAAATAAATCATTTTTCGACATATTTTCTATGATACTAAAAACCTATGAGAGAAGCAACCTCTCTCGAGGTGGGAAGGGGGCATTGGAGAACTACTCGTGTCTCTAGATTTGAAATTCTAAACTTGAAAGTCTCTTTAATCCCAAATCAACATTTCTTCCACAGTTTGTGACTACTCGGTCTAAAAATCAATTCTTTCCCTTTTCTCCCGATCATTTCCCTCAGCCACTCATTCGTTGTCATGCCGCCATCTTCCTCAATGCCTTGACATCGCCGTCTTATGTGTTCAACCTCCCTCGGAGGTCCACCACTGCCATCAACATCCAATTTTTTTTTAGATATCACTATTTTTTTTTTTTCATTTTAAAAATAATCTATAAAGTGTCGATATAAAACTTTCGTCATATATTAATGATAATAATTTTTATAAGAATAAAGAGTATATATAATACTGATAGTATTTGTGTTTCTTTTTATTTAAAAAAAAAAATTGAAAGATAGTCATGAAAATTTTAAATTTAAAAGTTTTATTAAAGAATTTTATAGATAAATATTTAATAATGACGTGTACTGCAACCCAACCCCACTGGGTCCATTGTCATCCATACCTTTTCCAGCTCCTCAGAGAGTGTGGAGATTTGCAATCTTATCCACTTGGAAAGAGTGGGGACCACTAAAATGGGAAAGCCACGTATTCAAAACCACTTACCAAAACCGCCGAACTCTTAACTTTATTCCATTTCCAGCCGCGTTTTAATTAAATATATACAAATGTGACAATAATCCACCTGGCTGAAAAATAAAATCCACCGCGTGCCATTTTTTCGTTTCCCTGCCACGTCACCACCCCCTCCGTATATATACCTCACTCCTTCCCTCCCACTCTTCAGTTCAACCTCTAATCTCCAATTCCCCAATTTCTCTCTCTCCCTCTCTCTCTCATGTCCTCTCTCAAGCGATCTCGATCCACTGAATTTTCGGAATCCTATTTCTCTCTTCCGCCGCCCTATCTCCGCCCAATCTCCGCCGATCAGGAGCTCTCTGTTATCGTCACGGCGCTAACTTCTGTTGTCTCAGGGACGGCCTTCGATTCCGATTTCATGGAGAATAGGTTTTGGCATGATTTTCAAATTCCGCCGCCTACATTTGATTGCGCAACCTCCGCGGCTTCTGCTTCTGCTTCCGATTCCTTCTCTGTCTCCGGAACTACTTCTTCCATCAGTTGTTCCAGTACCGACGCCATTTTAGGTCCCTCTGTTTTCGAGACATGTAGCGTTTGTCGAATCGACGGTTGTTTAGGTTGCGATTTCTTTCCGCCGTCGTCTCAAGTCGATAACGAGAAGAAGAGCGGCAAAAAACGGTCGAAGAAGACTTACAGAGGCGTAAGGCAACGACCTTGGGGAAAATGGGCCGCCGAGATCCGAAACCCGAAACTCGCGACCCGAGTCTGGTTAGGGACGTTCAATACAGCCGAAGAAGCCGCTAGGGCTTACGATAAGGCAGCTTGGGAGTTCCGAGGTCCGCGAGCGAAGCTTAATTTTCCATTTACGGATGATTCGTTGCGAATGATGAGTTCGGAGCAACAAGAACAGAGACCGGAAATTGAAATGTCGAAGAACAGTAGCAATTCGACGGCGGCAACGGCGGCAATTGGAGTCGGAAATGATGATGAAATTTGGGGGAAGATTGCGAAGGATGAAGCAGATCAATGGATGTCGTCGTTGATGACGTATCACGGCGGCGAGTCGCCGGACTCCGCCAGTACTGGAATTTGGGAATTCTCGTAGCCCTAATTTTTCGATTCCTGAAGAGGAAAAAAATTAATAAAAACAGAGAAATTTTCACTCCTATTTTTGTAGTGAAAAATCTTAGATTTTGTAAAACCCCAATGTATAGCTTAAAGCTCCTCTCATTAATTTTATCAATAAAATTTTAAATTATAATTTTTTTAGATTGAATTTCATTCCAATTTTACTCAAATTAAAACACTGAAAATCACTCAATTTTTTTTTTAATCCAATTAATTTTCTAAAAATCTCAAATTTTTATTTATTTCAAATTTCTAAGCTTTTTAAGTTTATAAAATTAATTTTATATCTAAAAAAAAGTTAAAATAAATATAGTTATTTAATGTTTAATTTTTTATGTTATTATAATTTATATTTATTTAAAAAATAAAATGTGTGTATATATATATTAACATTTTTAAAAGGGAATAATAAACAGTATCTTAATAGGAACAAAGCAATTGATGTCGGCTGAGATGGACAGGAAAGAAACCTTGGTTGCTGAAACATAGTATGCACGTTTCTAAAAAAACTACGAATCATATTTCGCCACGTGGCTTCACTTTGCCAAGTTGTACGTTTTTAAACACGTGGAATATTCTTAATTGGTTTGTAAAAGAAGAAAACGATAAAATAATATTAAATATCTGAGCATGTTGTTCATATTTAGCATGTGCGCTATTTATTTGATGTAAAGACAAAAAGGAGTGGTAGATAAAAGTTCATGATGTAAAGTGATGATGGTCCCCACCTCTTTTGTCCTACTTTTTCTTTTTTTAATTCTTTTTTAAGTTATTAACCTATAAAGCAATTTAATTTTGCTAATTAATTTCTTTAAAAAAAAATAAACACGTGTTAGTGAATATAGGGGGAAGCCCCTGAATCGAAGGCTTCCCTCGCTCGTTTATACGACAACGAGTGGAGTGCATAAGCCCCTTTAGAGATAGGGGTGGATACTACACCTGCTCGTAAGTTAGTACAGAACGAGCTTTGTCTACGAACTTCAGAGATAGGGGCGAAGCAGCTCGACCGATAGGGAGAGGGGCAACCTCGTCTTGCCTGCTTCTGGCGAAACTTATAGATGTTTCGCTAATTTAATATATTGTGATGTTTAAATAAAATGATGGTTTTTAATTATATGACTTCTGAGAGATAATGATTCACGCATCTCTCTTTTTAGGGTGGCTTAACAAAAAAATAAAAAATAAATAAACCCTTTACTTTGGAAGGTTCCGGATTGTCAAAGAGCTCTTAGAAGATGCTAATAAGTAGAGTGGAACACTATTGACGGGACAAGAGATGTATGATTTGAGAAAGTAAGAATTTTGATATGTTTTTAGGAAAAGGGACTTAGCTAGTTTTGTTTTATTCCGTTTGTCCTGTTGCCCATTCGAGACCGAGTGGTAAGTCCATGATCTATAGGGGAACAGATCACTCATTCTTCCACTGGGATACGTGTATAAATGATAACTCCAAACGACACACATCCATCGCCAATCTACCATTTAGGTGACACCAACAAGATCCACGTAAGGTAAGGAACTTCACGTCGCAGTCTCATGAACTAAACTTCGTTGCAACACGCGAAGCAAATTGGTTGTTGTGCTCTGGGTCTGTTTCAAGGCAGGAAATAAAAAGAGACCAAAAGACTGACTCATTTAAATGAGTTTGTCGTTTCATTAGCAATTCACAGTTAATTATATTTCTCCTTCATTCGACTCTTTCATAAGCGTATTTAAACGGAAATTTGATTTATTATCACAAAACTTCGTAACATTCTTGCCGAATATATATATATATATTTATTTGAAAAAAAATTAAGGGTAAAATTTTGTTTAGTTCTAAAAAAAAGTGTTTGATATGTTTCAAAAAAAAAGAAAAGAAAAAAAGAAAAAAACACGTGTGAAGCAACGTCAACGTGATTACATCACAAGATCCCATTAATTTAAGGCACTCTAATTAAATTTAAACCCAATGTGAAAGGGCCAAAAAGTTTGGTAGCACGTGTTTATTTACTTTAATAGTTTTCTTTTAGGAATAAATAAATAAACCACTTTTGTTTCATTGGGATTGGATTCTCACCCTTTTTTTTTTTTTTTAATTTTAATTTTATTTTTATTTATATCCTAACAAATTTTAAAACTATATATATATATGCAAAGAATTTTGCTTTGATGCTCGTGAAAATAAATAGCGGGAGGAAAAGCTTTCATGTCTTCGTCTCGTAGACATCTCTAATCTAAGATAAATATAAAGGGTTAAACCATAAAAGAAAATATTGGTATAATTATATTAGATTTTAAGAATTATAGCTCAGATCGAGACAATAGACTTTCGTAATATCCATAAAGAAATATAAAGGATTTTAAAAAAGGGGATTTATACAATTAATAAATGATTTAGATTAGTTTTATGGTTAAATATGAGTTTTATAGTAATAATTATAAACTAACAATTGGTTGGTTGAGCAAATAAATGTGAACAATTATTTTCACATTTTTTTTACTTTTTAGAAATTAAGAATCCATTTATTCTTTTGGATTTTTATTTTTAAAATGATGCTTTTCAACCACTACCCTTTGTTTTCAGTAAAGATACCTTTTTCCTTTTTAATTTATTTCAAATAAAAGTTTATAATTTAGGCACCGGGTAAAGAACGTGCGCATTGTACCTGAAATTATGTCAATTTAATTTAAAGTAAAAAGAGAGATGACTTTTGTGACAACTCGATTTCTAATGACTTATTGTAAGGTCATTACTATATATATGTCGATAAAAGTTGAAAAAAACTACACATTTAGCTCTCGAATGAAACAAAGATTCGAGAAAAATGATTGATATGTTCGTAATTAAAAGCAAAATAATTTTTCGGTAAAAAAAAGTAAGATAGTCTGCTAATTTACTTTTTTTATTATTATTATTATTATTTTTATTTTATTTTAATGTTAAGCGTTAAAAAAGTAAGACATGCATACATACAATAAGAATATGCAACTTGCATATGTGAGACCTAAATTGTTACTACCGAACGTGTTATTTATTGTGGACAATTAGCCCACCCTATACTTAGTCGTGTCAATTCTATGATGCTACATAACTGGGAGTCTCGAGAAATTTAGCCCTAATTGAAGAGAAATGGTAGCCAATCAATGGAGTCGAGTCCAATTAGGCTTACCTTAAATTTCCAAACGAAAAATTATAACCATCCTATTACTGTTAACAACTTTAAATTTTACTCAAAATCACAATGAAGAACACATAAGAAATACATCCTAAAAATCAGTTCTACTCTTGCATCGTATAGCTATTTACCTAAAACACACAAATTTTTCAGTGTGATAATGAACAAAATATGACCAGAAGCAGGGGGGACTGTTCCTAATTACATACGAAGGGATTAACGAAGAAAGCAGCAGTATAGCTACAGGAACACATCAATCAATGGAGACGAGAAAGCACATCGTCGACGTGTTACAATGGCGTCTCATCTCTTCCCGGACAGGCTGATGGAGCTGACTTTCATGGGCGTAGCCACAACCAGTGGAGCTTCTGGAGAATCTAAGACAGCAAACTTGTCGTGCATGAACCGACTTTCAACGATGGATTCATCCTTCAACACAATCTTGTAGCAGTAACAGCTCTTGAGACCTTGCTGATTTCGGTAGCATTCGTGTGCACTGTTCTTTACTTGATGGAAGTCCCATATTACACTGAACTTCCCCACTGTTGCAACGAGGTAACGCTCTTGTTTTCCGCTCTCGGTGACCTGAAAATCGTTGTCGATATAAGATTGTAAGGGAGTGAAAATCTCTCCCTAGTAGACACATTTTAAAAATCTAGAGGAAAAGTTCGAAAGGATAAGTCCAAGGAGGACAATATCTGCTAGCGGTGGGTTTGGGCTACTACAGATGGAACTAGAGCCAGACACCGAGTGGTGTGCCAACAAGGATGCTGGGTATTGAAGGGGGGTGAATTGTGAGATCCCACATCGGTTGGAGAGGGGAACGAAGGGTGTGGAAACCCCCCCCTAGCAGACGCGTTTTAAAAACCTTGAGGGGAAGTCTGAAAAGGAAAGCCCAAAGAAGACAATATTTACTAGCTGTGGACTTGGGCCGTAAAAATTGCAGGTAAGTTAGAAGCAGATAAATTTTCAATTCAATGTCCATTTCGTCAGCATCGAAATTATATATTTAGCCAAAAGACAATAATAAAACCTTAAGCAACAGAAACCAACCAACCAAGCCAGCTACAAAACAGAGCAAGATTCAAGCGATCAAATTCAGAACTAGTTTTTTCTTACCCATGAAAAGTGGCCACCATGGAATTTGTTGTCTGCTCCAGCCAAATGGGAATCCAGAGGAGTCAACTTCAGCAACCTCGGAGCTGGAATCCTGTTGCCCATCCGACCACTGAACCCAGTTTTCATGTTCCCATCTTTATCAGTGAATAATGTGCAAATGAGTATCAAATAAGTATCAGTCGTCCCCAAAATCCACTTCCCATCATAAGTAACATCCACGTGAGTAATCGACGAACCGAGCCCCGGAAAAGCTGTCTTCGCCTGTCTCATCGATGTCTTCGAATACAGCCTAATCTTCCCATCAGCTGACCCAACAACAATCGACCCATCCCCAGTCGTAGCAAAGCATTGAAAGTTTGTCCCTCTACAAAACTGATGCCCCTGTGCCCAGTTCAGAACCGGTGAATTATCAGCACCTCCAATGTTCTGAACCTTTCCTTTACGCTCTCTCATGTCCCATTGACAAAGCTTGTTATCGTCCAGCCCCAAAAATGTCGCCTCTGAAGGATCCAATTGCGATCCTTTGGTGTTGTTCGTGATGTCCCTCATTGTAATATCATTACCATCCTTTTCAAACTTCCATTCGGTGACTATCTTCCCCGTCTCTATATCAAGCTGCTGCAGCCCTGATGCGTGGGGCTTTCCTTCCTTCAATGGACTCATGAGAAGCATGTTCGTCTCAGCCTTCATGAGAAGACCCTTCTTCGGTGTTGATCGACCAATGTTTGGGGAATTTCCTGAACCAACTTTCAACGAGACCCCCTTCCCGTGAATTCCATGGCTTAGATTCTTGTAAACCTGAACGCCTGAATCATTCACCAAGAAGCTGTTATCCAATGCCCCTAATGTCAAGCTCTGTACTCCTCCATTAGCAGCTTCCTCGAACTCCTCTATCAAGTCGTGCTTCGTTCTCACCGACGGAGTCTTCGACCCAGGGCTCTTCCCGAACTCAATATCAGCGTTTTCCCAAATCGAATCGTCGGCCACCTCCGGCTTCAACCACCCAATGAATTCCTTCCCGTAAATCTTGACCCTGTTCTCATCAGTCGCTTGAAGACCATAGACATTCTCAAACAAGCAATCTTGGAATTCAGTTACGAAATTCCGATACTGTTCATCACTCCGGAACTTCAAAGCCCAAACACCTTTGTCAACAAAATCGACACGCCGCTGATCGCCGAACATCTTCATTTGCATTTCTGTCGAAACCAGAGCTCTAATCTTCGTCCCTACTTTGAGTACCCAACGCAACTGATCTCTCCCTCCCGACGATTTGGCTTTGTAACCCCTAACGTCATCTTCCTCCTCCTCGTCGTAATTATTTCCGTCGACCTTCGCCGTTTTGAGAAAATCGTAGAAAGTGAGTTTCTCAGAGACGATCCACTTCGCTCGGGGGGTGTTTCCACCGATATGAAGGTAAAGTTTTACAGCATTCTTGGAATTAGGTATCTGAGAAGGGGAAGAGGAGCCATACTTGAGGTTAAGAGCTTTGAGTTTGGCGTCGACATCATCAATTGCAGATGAAGTACCAGTCGATTTAGCTGGCTTCAATTCTGTCCCAGCCTCGTCGCATTCTTCTTCTTCTTCTTCTTCCTCCTCCTTGAATTCATCGGAGTCTGAAAGTTCAACATCCTCGCAGTCGCGGCTATGCGCGGTACCCATTTCGGACCGTGTGATCTGCAAATGGGGAAAACACGATTCCGATTCCGATTCCGATTCCGGGATGGATTCGAGGAACTAGGAAGAGAAAATCAGGAGGAATTTCAAGAAATTTGATCGCGATAATTGGAACTCTTTTGAGACCCAGAAGGTTTGGGAGCCAAATTTTAGGGTAGTTAATTAATCTGAAATTCAGGTTTGTTCGTTAGGGTATTTATAGTGTAAGAATTGATTGCAGAAATTGTCGACAATTTTATAAATTGCACAAATTATTAAAACGCTACAATTTATAAATCAATTATTTTTATTTTTATTCAAATTAATAAATTAAGTTTTCATATATATATATATATTAATCAATTAACTAAAGTATTATAAAAATATATCCCATTTTTTAAATCCAACAAAGTAAAGTTACCCATTTTCAAAAATTTTAAATTCCTTTTTTTCTTAAAAAAAACATTTAAAATTATTTCATATTTATAAAACTTTGATCAAATGTTTTGAATTTCAATTATCTTTAAAATTAATTTATAGAAAATATGAAAAGACAACTTCAATTGGTGACCCGACCCTATAGCTCAGTAAACACACCTTTAACTCGAACAAAGCTTTAATCATATAAATTAAAGGGTCAAACATTCACCCGAACTTATAACATAATGTACTAGTAAGCGGAAAAAAATAATAATAATAATAGAACATAACACCATACCATATAAATTGTTTCACCTTTCTTGGATTCTCTTTATTTTATTGTTAAATTCAACGATTGAATATCTGTTTGAGTATAATAAAATGTGTCTTTATCATAGAACTCTATGGTTCGAGATGTAGTTTACCTTCCATTATGACCTACAAACATAAAACAACTATATTGAGCGAAACGCTCAACAAAAAAGCACACCCTGAGATTATTTCAGGTAAATTTGTGCACGAACCTATGCAAACTGGGTTAAAAGCAGTAGATAGCCTGGTTCCTATAGGCCGTGGCCAACGAGAACTTATAATCGGGGACCGACAAACAGAAAAAAAACTCAAGACCTTCGTAACTTATAATCCACTTAACTATGTTCCGATCTGCAATTTTCCTTCTAATATATTGTATGAAGATTAAGCAACTGTGTATTGAGTGAAAGGCTCAACAAAAAAGCACAGAGAAACTCAGGACCCTCGTTCATTAGCTAAGATAGGGGGTATTAATCCAAAGAACTATGTAACATAAAAGAGCTGTATTGAGTGAAAAGCGTTCAATGAAAAGCACAAAGGAGCTCAGGGCCCTCGTTCATTGGCTAAGAGGCAGCATTGCTACCAAGCGCCAGAGAATTAATCAGTTCTCCTCGGACATCAACAGCATAACAATTTGAACATTCTATAAAACAGCTTAGACATCATCAACCTAAAAGTAATTTTACTGTCAACAATTTATTACATTCACCTGTAAAGGAGTAACTTCGTGTACTAACAGCGAAGGACAAACTTGTCGCAAATTTTCAGCTACAAGGCATCCCGCGCAGCGATTCTACATGTTATGGCATCTCCAACTGAGGATATTGTCAACTCGGGTCCGGTGATCTTAAAATGCTGAAGAAAAAAAGAACAATCATTTGCTATTGGCAGGGAATAACCCATAATTTGTTGTATAGTAGAAAACTTTGTAACTTAAAAATCATGTTGAGGGTCTAGTGGAGCGAGCATAGGCTTCATAGAAAATAGTGGAGGTGAACCAAGAGCATAACGTAATGGCTTGTTGCCCTAAATACTCAGTTATCAAAGGAGGAAAAAAATCATAATTGGCATATCAAGAAGACATGGAATGCACCTTTTGTATCAGAGCTTGGTCTGCTCTCCCTCCCAATTCCTCTAAGTTGATCTCTTCACCGTGCACTAGTTTCTCGATGGCCTTCGTCTAGAATGGGAGAATAGATTACACAAAAAGATTGAGCTTTTCAAGAATTCAGAATTTATAATGACAAGTCTACAACAAGGTAACAGAGTATAGTAGCATGACATCTTGAACCAACCTCGTCGGGAGAAGCATTAAAACGAGCAGCAAGGACATAAGAGGAGCTATCAGAAATTCCACATCTTTTTAAAGACTCTGTAATCTGCATATGATTAAATCAAAAGATCACACAAACATACCCACAAACAAACAAGCAACCTGCTGCAGTATCCAAGAGGTTAGATAGAATTACATGCTTTGAACCCGAATAATTGTAGACGAGTTCTGAATGAAGGGTGCGGGTAGTCAAAGAATCCCTTGACTTGGATATCAGTGTCTTATAAGCAGCCGCAAGCACCGGGAAAACATCTGGAATCTGTCTTCAGTTGTTTATGAGGAAAATATTAGAGAACTCTTGGGCACATTTCAAAGCAAAAACATAAAACATACAAAAGAGTGGAGAGCGTGGAGGTGAATTTCATAATCATATGCTACAGGAAAATAGATAAGCATATATAATAACCATACAAGAGAAGCATTGAGAAATGCAACTTCCGGTTCCAGAGTTGCAGCTTGCATGGCATCAAGAAGCTCCCTGGAAATAAACAACTTTATGAGGCGCTTCAATTGTTAATAACGTAGCTTATTCTTTAAAAACACACACTTCACGTAAGAACATATGTAATGGCACCCATAAATCATAATTTATATTCAAACCACCATAATTTTCACAGATAGCTTTTAAAATCAAACACGGACTACAGTTCAATCCCTGCGTTTAAGCCTCTGCCACTTCAAAAACTGAAGAAACCGCATACCACATTATTTATCCAATAAACTCGAACACGTGATGTTCCAAACACAACAGTTAAATACAAGGTGCTGTCACCCATTTCTTGCCTCGATTAGTTCAAGCATTTTCTCAAACAGTTAGCGAATGTACCGAAAACCAAACGTTAGAGAGAAACAAAAAGATCAAATATCGAGTCCATATAATTATACAATGATTAATCATCCTCCCACTAGTCTCCGTCGACCAAATTTTCAGTTTCAGGAAATCATATGGAGAGACAGAGAGAGAGAGTACTTGGAATTGGTAACGTCTGTGAAGAGAGCGAGAGTCAGGGTGGTTCCGTTGATCTCGAACACCTTCATGGCTGCTTCGAAGACACGATCAAGTCGAAGGATTCTTCCCCAGAAACAAGACGACCCCGAGTACAGAAGGGTTTGGCTAGGGTTTAGTTTTTCTGGTCTTAACTGAAATTTACGTTCCCCTTCTGGATTGAATCTCTTATAAATTACATTTTATTTTCGCTAATTTTGGCTAAATTTATAAATATTTTATTTGATATTCTTTTTCTATAAATATTACTTTAACCCGTCTATTTTTACTTATATTTTCAGAAATCAAATTAAAAAAATAGTTTTAAAATAATAATCTGACACCCGAGTAAATGATGAGTACATAAATGAGTCAATATCACATTGGAATGAAGCCGATCGCGATAATAAGATGAACATTTAAAAAATTAAAAATTACTAATAATATGTACCTTATTTTTGGGTGGTTCAATCATTAAAAAAAATAAAATAATAATAATAATAATAATATTTCTAACAATATCTTATATAAAGGTGGAAATTGTTAGACGAACACGACTCTCCACGATAATATGATATTGTCCACCTTGAGTATAAGCTCTCATGACTTTGCTTTGAGCTTCTCAAAAGACCTCATACCAATGTAGATAGTATTCTTAAATTATAAACCTAAGCCCGTGATCATTCTCTAAATTAGTCAATGTGAGACTTTTCTTTTCATCCAACACCTCTCCTCGAACAAAGTACGCCTTCCTTTAATGAAGACTCAACTCCTTTTCTTTTTGAGTCTTAGTCATTTTTTATTATGTCTTCGAGGAGCCTCATTTTGGAGTCCTTTGTTCGACATTCGAGGATTCTATTGATATGACTAAGTTTAGGGTATGACTCTGACACCATGTTAGACGAACACAACTCTCCACAATGGTATGATATTGTCCACTTTGAGCATAAGCTCTCGTGGCTTTGCTTTGAGCTTCTCCAAAAGCATTCTTTAAATTAGCCGATGTGAGACTTTTCTTTTCATCCAACAGAAATATTAATTTTTTATAAACTTTAAGACTAAGATTAAAATATTTATATAAGTTTGAGATAGCAATTTAATGAAATTCAAAAGTTTATGGTAAAAAATTATTATTTTATTGTCACTTCTCCTTGCCCCTTTTAATTTACAATGTATTATTTTAACAAATATTCTATTTATACTATCTAATAAATATCCAAAAAGTTTAATTAATTACATTAAAAATATATAATTAAAATATATGTTTTTTAATTTGAAAATTTTTGAAAATTTTAAATAATATTAATAAAATACATAATAAATTATGGATTATTGACATATTATTATATCAAATAATAATTATTTTATATTATAAAAATTTATTATTGTTATCAAATATAAGTGTATCCTTCTATTATAAATTAATTAAGAATTAATTTTATGAGCTTTTTAATTTTTATTATTTTTAATCCGAGTTAAAAGATAAATTAATTAAGAATTAATTTGTAAATTAAATAAAATTCTTCTATGATAAATCATTGTAAAATGTAAATCTTAACGGGCTCTGAAACCCATTTGATTTAGAATAGATATCGATGCATTTGGTTTTTTAAGCGCACTCTGTTCATATAATAAAAGGCAAACTTGAAAATTTCCCGGACAAAATTGGCCATTTTCACGTAATCGTCAAGCAAAACGAATACTTTCAATTCATCGGAGGCTCGGCGAATTCCATAGGTGTACGAGTTTGATGATCAAAGATTCTTGATCATCGTTCTATTTTCGTTGTGTTGCTCTAGATGGGGATTTGTTTCCCATCGTGGGCGACGGCGAATTTCAAAACCCTAATCAATTTTCTTTATGCCCTGAACTGATTCCTCTCGTAATTTGATCATTCTGACGCGTTATTACCTGCAGTACCAGCCATGTTTACGTGGAACATAGCGAAGACGGCGGAGGCGATGTTCTCGAAATTCGCCGTCAAGAGGTTGTGCAAGTTTTTACTGAAAAAGAAATTGGGGCAGTTTTTGTTGGGGGAAATTGATATCGATCAGCTGGACGTGCAGCTTGCTGACGGCACAATTCAGCTCAGCGACTTGGCGCTTAACGTTGATTTTCTCAATGAG